AGATTTAAATAAAATATAAAATAAATAACTTAACAAAGAATTAGAAATCTCATAGAAATAAATATACGGAAAATGATATTAGGAAATGTTTTCTAATACTAAATCGACCGCAAAGTGCAAACAATCGTTAACATAAGTTATTCGTGAAAATAGCGGATATCAGTAATAAATATTTAATTTGCAAATAAACTTAAGATCACAATCAGATTCAATTTGGCTAACAATAGAGATCTTTCTATACAATTGACTGGAAGCAAAGGCTGCATACGGTATAGTTATAGCATTAGCAATGGGGCACAACTACTGTATAATTCAATTTATAGTTCTCTGTAATACTCCTTAACTTATTAGTCAGTGTTTTATCGATCACTTCTCTATGCATTCATGAAAACAACGATGCGTTCAATCAATTGTTTTAGGCATACAATAGCAGTGAGCAATGTCCTTTCCTTCATCTTATTTTTATATCTTTCTTTGCTTAATGAAACTCTCTCTCTCTCTCTCTCTCTCTCTCTCTCACACACAAACGTGTGTTGGGACGAGAATTGTTCAAAAGAGCAACAGTGGTGGCTGTATGTGAAGTCTTCTGAAGAGTTGGACACTAGATCTCCGGACACGACATCTTGTTCAGCTAAAGTCTAATTATTTTAAAATACAATAAATGTGAGCGACAAGTTTGTTGAACACAAAAATGTTGAGTTTTCTAAAAAGTATAAATATTATAATCACTCTCATCTCTAATTTCTAGGATGGATAGAATTTATATTAAAGAGTGAATGTGTTAACTGTGATATCACTGATACATCTGTTGAATGTTCAGTATTTAATGCAAACAGAAATTAATTCTTTTGTAAAAGAGTTTGAAAGTGTGTTTATATTTATAATATATGAAATGAATAATAGATTATTTGCTTTAATAAAATGAGCTTTTATATAATGGACCGTAAAATATGGTTTTGATCGACAAATGCAATATTGGTATTCTTGTAGACACACAATGAATGGGAATTTAAAAATGGGAAACAATGATATATTTATGTTTAAAGCGTTTATCCGCACAAATGCTTTATCCGAATGCAATCAACACGAGTATTGAGTTTTATATTTATATTGTAAGCGTCGGCACCGGCAGCGCATCAAAAGTGTATTGTGTTATGAAAAATGAAGTCAAAAGCACTGAAATTCTGTGATAAGACTTCATCTCTCACGTGAACACACATTCACTTTTTAGACCTCTTATATACAAAACCATTTTATGCTTCTTTAACTAAACTATACTTTTGATGCATTGATTCTGTCATCAAATCCCCTGAAGTCGTATTACTAATGCTTTCCTCACATTTTCAATCAAATACTACAAACACTTCAGACATTAAAACATTGATATAAATACCAGAAAATGCTGTTTTGCCTCAAATTACAGTAAATATTTACTTTAAATTTTATTTTAAACCCAAGAAATTATTATAGAAAAGAAAAAAGTAGAGAAAGGGAGGGAGAGAGAGAGAGAGAGAGAGAGAGTTATTATAATAAATAAAGCTATTATAGAGTATTAGGTATAAAATGGGTTTTCTCTAATTGAACATAAATTCATTGAATATAAAATTCTTGGATAATGTTTACGAAGAGATGATTTAAAAGCACTTGAAGAATCGATTTATTTGTTTGGAAGCCATTTATTTGTGAATGAAAAATTAATATCCGAAATAGCATTGTATTCATTGGGAAAAGTGTTGGCACTTATGATATGATGCGAGGCTTTCGCTAAAATAGATTCTCATTTCCGTATAAACAGAGCAGAGATTGCATTACAGAGTGAGTGAGTATTGCATCTCTAGATGTGAGCGACAGCTGCACCGGCTGTGAGTGGAGGTCCACCCGAATGGTTGGGCACCACTTCTGTGCTGCTCTGCACCTGTATTATGGCTGATGGCAGTTACGATGAGATCGTAATCATTATATCGACCCATTTACTGATGTGAGAGAACCCACCATAAGGCATATGATTGCGCTTTCAATCGTTAAATGCATACAATGTTTAGCGCTAAGGTATGACAATATCTACTCATTACTGTTATATTCAATTATAGCAACAATTTCTGCATTAAGTGATAGACAAGTGAAGTCTAGACAAGCAAAGTATATAAAATTGGTTTTGCATTCTTTGAAACTTTTTAATTAAACAAATTGATTGCATTCTCAAGTGAGACAACTCTTTACTAAATTGCAATTTTGTTGGTCAGTCAGTCAGTCAAGAGCTGTCCACACCTTCAAGTCCTCTCCAATTATTTACCTCTAAAACAATGCATTCATTTATGTTATTGGCATTCAATCCTTACTATGATTTCAACTCATCTAAAACCACAATTGGATTTAAATAAAAAATATTTTCTTTTTTACAAATAATAAGAATATAAGAAAATAATTAATTAACTTTTATGAATTAGTTCATAAATATATTTAAACACAGGAATTTGAAGTATCAATTAAAAAAAGTTGGCCTTACATAATGTGGAAATTTAATTAAATGATTGTGATTTGGTTATTTCTAGTTTTTATCGTAAAATTTTGTATTAATTGGTTGCTCTACTGATTAGAGCGTGGAATCGATTTAATTCATTAGTAATTCAATTATAGAATGAGTGAAAGGAATAACAAATAAGTTTATATTAAATAAAAGCAGTGGAAATACTGTACAATGAAATGCTTTCCTAAATAATTTATTTTGAAATGAGATTTTTTATTTAAATAAATTCTTTTGCATGAAATCTCAGCGATTGCTAGGTTCGGGTGCAGCGAAAAAACATCTGAAATAGTCGTAAAGAGTTTGGTTTTAATCCGAGATATTAATGAGAAGAAAACAAAGTATTCATTTAAATTAATTTAATGCCATTCGCTCTCCAATTGAATTAATATTATATAATATAATACACCACCAAAAGAGTGATCGTATTTTGAATATTGTATTCAAAAAGCATTTGCATAATCCGATTATCTTATTTGAAGTCTACAATATAGTTGTTTTCTTCCCGATGCCTACCAGTGCCTACCACTGCCTACCACTCCATTGGCCTAAGATTAGTTTGGAAATGACTTGAAATCTTAATTAATGGTTCAATGGATATAATAAACATTAAAATCTATTTGAATAAAGAAAACATCAAACTTTTCATTCATTGGATAATAATTTTAAGAAAAAGTTTGGAAAATTGATTTTAAAAGTGACAACTTTTTTACCAGTCAGCATATCCATCAGTTTCACAATTGCTATTCATTTGCTAAGATATAACATTTATAAAACGTTAAACATCTTCTCTATTTGATACTGTATTGCAATTTTGAAATATTAATATTTAAAAATTGTTTTGTAAATGTCAAAATATTCACTTTAAACATTGAAAAATGTAAAACCAATAAATATAAACTAAGAAAAAGAAATTCTCTAAAAATTTGTTTGCTTAAGAATTTATGCTCAAAGTATGTTTCACTTAAATAAAATAATTTTACAAATATTCTAGTTAATAAAATGATAAAATTTTAATATTTGTAAACATATTCTTTATATTTATATTTATTAATAACGAGTTAGTAAGCTTAAGCTATATTCTCTAAATTTATATATTCAATATAATTTCATAATTATTTTTTATACATCATTGAAAAAGTAAAGAATGAGATCAAAAACACTACTTCACATCTTCAGTGTAGAGATGAGAGAAAATATGTGTGTGTGTGTGTGTGGTGTGTGTGTGTGTGTGTGAGAGAGAGAGAGAGTACTTAGAGCAAGGAGAGTGTGTAAAGCATTTATATCTTAATGATGTGACACAAGATTTAAAGGACACAAAGTAGTGATTTTGAGTCCAACTCTAAGGGAATGTAAGGGAATGTCATAACCAAACGTGACTCAAATGCGACAACAGATGCTCTGAATTGGCGACGACTAGGGATGAAGCAAAAAAAGTGGATAAATGCCGTTACAGTATTTTAAGTCATATCACTTCTAACTTATTTGATGGCAAATATATTCTTAACATTAAATTAAATAAAATTCATTTAAAACGCAATCTACTATTTGTACTTGATAATTAAAAATTTAAACTACTTTTAAAATATCTTATTTGCAAAAATAATTGAATAAGTCTATTTATTTATATGAATTTATCCATTTGTTTTGAATAATTTTAAAAGTTTTGTTACATCAAGAATATTCTATTAAATAAAAGTTAAATAACAAGTAAAAAACAAACTCCTTATAGAATTTCTTAGTAATGTACAGTAATATTGACTTAATTTAAAGTTAAATTAAAAACTAATGAACAAAAGGATTGTTTGTTTAGAAGTTTGCTTTTAAGACGGTTTGAGGTAATCTTGGTTCATATGAATCGGATTCTGTGTTTGCATTAGTGGCCAATTTATTGCATTAATTAGTCTTTTATCAAATAATCCTCTTTTGTAAACATTTGTCTAGATTCCTAGGTTTCAGTTACACTGAGTCTTCAAAGTCTAAATCATTAAATATTGTGATTCTGATAATTAAAATAAATTTGAAATAACCGTGAATTAGATAATATGATGCCATCAGTCAGTCCCTAAAGACCTTTGCAAGAATTTACTGTAATTTCAATGTAGTCTCCAATGAAATCTATTCTCTAATTGATTACAAATGGAAATACATTTGAAAACAAGTGTTTTGTTGCAAAATAACTGCACAAATGGTTTGAGCGCTTCGGCGATGGTATCATTGAAAGAGTCAACGATTGTTGAGTCAAATAATTAAATCAATCATTCGCTGCATTACTTCAATGAGAAATACAGTAATTGTTATTATGATAGGAATTGCTGTGATTTCTTTCAATTCACTTATCATTTGATTATTTGGTACACAAAGTGCTGCAAAGGCACCGATAGCTCAATAGCCCAATAGCCCAGTGCTCTAACTGTGCGACAATTTAGTATAGTTTAGTACAAGAGTGCCAATAAAGGCACACATCGGCCAACATATGGCAACATTCATATGTGCGCTACTTTTGGACGCCTTTACCATTGAGTGTCTCATCAATGTTATCACAGCGTATGTCGTGAATAGACTGATGAGGACTGGGATGTGAGCACCAGTGCCTTAGTGCGCATTTCCAGAGTGTGTCTCAGACTAAACGCCAAACTCTTATAACTCTAAACTGTATTGAGAATCGTTTCAACAAAAACTTATAACACATTAATTCTGTCTAACGTTTCTCTACTATACAGTAGTTATGTCTATATATTATTGAATCACAAAATTCGCATCTCTTTTATAATATACTTAATTAAATGAAATTTAGTTTTGTGTTGCATTGAGTCGTCAGTTGTTGTTCATTCAAAATGTTTTCTCAATTACAACAAATCACTGTATTGTTTGTATCATATAAATCACAAATAAGTTTCATATTAGTTGTGTTTTTAACATTTTTATACGAACTCAACTCAATTGATGCACAATTAGTGACAGTTCCCCCATATAGTCGTTATGGCGCTAACTATCAGACCACTTGTAATCGGGAACCGACTACTGTTAACGCACCACAAACTAAAGGCAATAATGGCTTCAAAATTAAACTTAGCGGCAATCCTGAGAAATATGTTCCTGGAGAAATGTATACCGGTATGCATTACTTTTGATACTATTTTATTCTAAAGTGCTTTCTTGATCTAAATTCTTTAATCCAATTACATTTAGAAATCTGTAAATTCTTTACAAAAATAATTTGTTATTATTAATGCTATTTTTAATTTAATATAAAAACATATTAACAAGTAAGCTATTTTATAAGTTTCGTGATTTGTGATAAATTCTTAATTATAGACAATATTGTCTAAAATACCTTTTACTTTATATTAATTTTCGAGAGCATATTGTTATAAAATAAGTTTGATATTCAAATAGAAAACACTTTATTTTAATTAGTAATTCTGTAACTGAAGAGCTGACAATTTATTTAAAGACTAAAACATTAAATTTCAATAAATATTCTTTACATTACATATCTCTCAAACAGAATTCATGTTCTCAAGAGAAGTGAATTTCAGTGAAATTTTTTTTATCAAACTTTGAGACCTATCAGAGCCATCAAAATCATATTTACAGACATTTTAATAGTAAGCGCACGATCTCTGAGATTACATTTCACAAGAGTTTTCTGTTTTTCCCTTTAATTTCAATGTTTTCTAAATGCTTTTGAATCACTAGTAACTCTTGTATTGATTATTACTCTATAATAAACATTAATTTTAGAAACATTTTTCACAACTCTATGAATCTAAATATTTAATTAAATTAGCAAGAATTTCTTTAATTAAATGTTTATTTTTATACCTAAATTAATTCCTACAATAATATGTTTACTTATTTGTAGAAAAATGAGCATTAATTCAAGGATTTATTACAATTGCATACAAAAAGAAAATCATTAGTTATGTAAACATAAAATTTTCCCAAACTGTTAATCAGTATCTCTGTTATGTAAATTCATACACTATAGTATATTTAGCACAATATATTGTACAATATTATCATTTAAATTATTAAAACTTAGGCATACATTTTATGTATAGTATATTTTATTAAATTAATATAGATGATTGCATAGAGAATTTTGGATTATATTTTAAATATAATATCCAGAATAAATAAAATATATAAAAGCAAATTATGTTTAGCCTACTATTTCATTAACGTTGTATGTTTTGAGCGCCGGCCAAATATCTATTTACTCCTCAACACTAGTAATTCAAATACATGAATATAAAAATAAATTTCAGAATTCATGTTAACCTTGCGATCACTTATACACTGCAATACAATTATCCAAATTCTGTTAATTACTCGAAAATTCTTGAACAATCATTATTTATGTGAAACGAAACAAACGAGACTAACACTTAATTAACGTCAACTCTTATTAAGAATAAATTAACAATACAACTCATCACACAATGGTTCACATTATTAAAAACATAAATTTCTTTGCCATCATTAAGAAAATATTTACGAAAACTGTACAGTTATACTTAGGTTTTTAAAAATTCTGGCTAAATCTATACTTTATTTTATAAATATCTAGATTTTTCAAATTGAATATTTTAATCAATTGCTTATAAAACGAAGTCTTATCATTTTATCAAAACAAAATTACTCTTAAATTTTATAAACAGTTTATAAAACCCTATTATTCCAAAAATAGTTGCTTAATTTCATTTAAAATTTATTATAATTAAAACCGTGAAATCAGTGTCACTTTCAACGCCCTTCCAATTCTGTAAACCGTATTATAATACTGTATTTTAATACAGAATCCTATTTTACTCTATATTTTCAATGTTCTGTACAGTTGTAGAAAGTAGATGAAGAGTACAATTCTGTTATAAAAATAAATTTCAGAATTCATGTTAACCTTGCGATCACTTATACACTGCAATACAATTATCCAAATTCTGTTAATTACTCGAAAATTCTTGAACAATCATTATTTATGTGAAACGAAACAAACGGGACTAACACTTAATTAACGTCAACTCTTATTAAGAATATATTAACAATACAACTCATCACACAATGGTTCACATTATTAAAAACATAAATTTCTTTGCCATCATTAAGAAAATATTTACGAAAACTGTACAGTTATACTTAGATTTTTTCAAATTTTCGCTAAATCTATACTTTATTTTATAAATATCTAGATTTTTCAAATTGAATATTTTAATCAATTGCTTATAAAACTAAGTCTTATCATTTTATCAAAACAAAATTACTCTTAAATTTTATAAACAGTTTATAAAACCCTATTATTCCAAAAATAGTTGCTTAATTTCATTTAAAATTTACTATAATTAAAACCGTGAAATCAGTGTGACTTTCAACGCCCTTCCAATTCTGTAAACCGTATTATAATACTGTATTTTAATACAGAATCCTATTTTACTCTATATTTTCAATGTTCTGTACAGTTGTAGAAAGTAGATGAAGAGTACAATTCTGTATAATACTACAGTACAGTATACAATTGGAGGTCCATTGCCTTAAAGGCATTTGATTGAAGGGAAAACAAAGTAAGCAATTTGTGAGACAAGTGCTGGTCTTAACAAAAATTAAGTATAAATTTACCAATTTTGGGTTTTTGTACTTTAATGGAGCATACAAAGTGTTTATACATTCAATTAATGGGTAAATATGTATTAAAAATTGAACAAAATGTATGGAAATGTATAGAATTACTAATGGAAAGTGTTGTGAAATGTAAGCACATGTATGTCCAGCACTAATAAGTTGTGAGCAAACATTGGAGATGAGATCCAATTAGGTATGGCCTCTATTTCTATTATGCACTTCAAAGATGTTTCATTATATTTATCCTAAAGACATATAACAATAGAATTGGTTTGCAAAGTTTATGTTGACTTCTTAGTCAATATACCAGTGCTCTTACCGGTGCTTTTGAGATATACTAACTGATATAAAACGAAAATTGAATTTCTTTTATAGATAGCACTCGAACCATAGTTTTTGCTTAAATCAAAACATTAGTCCTCATTGAAGCACAATTGAAATAAACATTACAAATGTTTATATAAAACATTGAATTTATTTTTACATTATTTTAAGTAAATACTAAATAAATTATATCAAGAATTACATCAATTCTGTATATTCGTTGATATACTATAATAACAAATCAGAATTTTTATAATAAATTATATGATATCTGAAATTTAATTATAGAAAACACTGTTTTCATTAATCAATTTTTATATTATAACACAAAATACTTAGTTCGTTGAATATTCTATGCATATATAATATTTTGAAAACAAATTTCACTTATTTGTGTGATTAAGTGAATGAAAAATAATTCAATTTACAATTCAGTGAATAAAATATTAGTGAAACGCGTATACAGTTGGCTGCAGTCAAGTTGTTATGTTGTTATACAACCAGAATATATACAGAATATACAGAATATATTCGTCTCTATATATTAAGCGGCAATTCTTTCATCAATTATCGAAGATTACAATTGTTTTGTTGTTAACATTAATTTATTTATACCTCAACACAAATCCAACGGGACTTCTGCTCTTTTGCTACAATTACTAAAAAACAAATAAAACAAAACTTGTAATTGATTTCCGTTTCATTGGTTGATGTAGTGGTTCTTCAAGGAGACCAACGAATATCCAAATCAGCGACGAGTGTCCATAAGTTCATCGAATTCCTGTTAGTCGTCGAACCGCTGCAAGACGTGCGACCGGAACCCAACACACCCGCCACCGGACCCCCAGTCCTGCCAGACGTCGGCACGTTTCAGGTGTCCATCACTTCCTCAAATCCATTCATTATTTTTATTAATATCACATTTTTATTATTTATTACATAAACATTACTACAGTATGAAGAAATGAAGTATAATTATATTATTTATTAATTGTCAAACAAATAATTTATAAGAATATTGAGCCCATCTTTATGAATCATATGGACAATTGTTTTTGTTTGACTAACAGTATAGAAAATAGTGTTTTCAATAATTGAATTGGTGATTATGTCTTGATTGAGATCAATCACTGATACAAATTTGTTTTAGTGTCACGTTTTAGAGATTTAGCCAATTCTTTACTTTTTTATATTTAATTTTCTCCATTAGTTTCTAATACTTTTCAATCTCTCGTTATTAAAAGACGTTAGTAGTCTTTCATTTGCTCTTAAGTTAGTATTAATTATATTAAGAGAGAGAGAGAGAGAGAGAGAGAGAGATAGAGAGAGAGAGACTTGTGATATTTTCCGTTTTATACGGGTCAGATAGATATACCGTAGTACATTTACTATAAATCTGCTTTAATGGGTAATATATGTATACGGTGTTTGTATATATAATACACTATTAATGTTTAAATGAATTAAATTCTTACTTTATTTGTGTTATTAAAGCCATATTACAGAAGAAGTATAGATTTGATAGAGAATTGAATAGTTTAGCGATTGTTATAGTCATTGATACAACACTTGAGTTGACTGTAAATGACTGACTTATGAGCACTTAATTTATTACATTTGCTTCAAATCGACTCCATATCTAAATTATTTACTGAATCTTTTCATACATACTGTATCTCTACTTTTTAGTTAAAAATATTTCGCACAGATTTGGACCATTAGTTCAGTTGCTTAGAGTTTTTGGAGTGTGAAAAAAGTTATTAACAATATTAAAGGGCATAAATAGGAGAATGTGTTGTCATAATTGACTTATACATCAATTACTATTAATCATATTTTTATTTCAATTTTCCGTTTCATATTCAATATTCGCATCTCATATAAAAACCAATAATTACTTCATTTGATTATTGATTTCTTTTAAAAAATCTATTAATTATATCAGAATTTCTTTAAAATATACTTTATAATATACAGTGTACTGTGTACTGTATATTAAATATTTAAATTATATATTAGTACATAGTAACTATTAACTGTTAATATTTGATATGAAATTAGAAAACTTCTTTTAATTATGATGGCATCATATAATTGTTTCACTAGTTATACAGCGATTCATTGGTTAAATTATCAGATGAATGTCCAAACGCTGTCACTCATACATCATCCGTGTCCAAAGTGGAGATCAGTGTTATGTGGCACTCACCCGCACCTGGATCTGGATGTGTTGTCTTTAAGTATTGTCACTTTCTATGAAATATTTTATACAAAATGAGTATTATTTAAATTGATAATAGAATCGACATTTTGCAATTAATAAAATTAAATAAAATTTTGTTACTACCTTGGCCAAAATAGATTTAGAATTATAATAATTAATGAATTGTAAACCTGTGATTGTGTTATGTTATCAATCAGAGCAACAGTAGTGGAAAGGAAGGACATGTGGTATATGGATGAGGGAGGGCTGACTAAAGTGATCTGCGAAGAGGAGTCTGAGAGCAATGATGAACAGCCGGACATAATCGACGAGTGCTGTGCTTGTGATGAAGCCAAATATGAAGTGACTTTCGAGGGCTTGTGGTCGAAGTACACCCACCCTAAGGACTTCCCGGCCAACTTCTGGTTGACTCACTTCTCAGACATCATAGGCGCCAGTCATTCGGCGGACTTCCGAATGTGGGAATACGGCGGTTATGCCTCCGAAGGTGTCCGACAAGTGGCTGAGTTAGGAGTCACCAAAAAACTTGAATCGGAATTAAAGGCTGAATCAAATAAAATCAGGTTTTTATTTTTATTTATATTATTCAAACAGTTTAGAACATAGTAATAATATAATTCAATTTTCATATAACACAATTTAACTTGCGCCAAGTGATTAAATATCTAATGTTAAGTTAACAATGGGGTCAATGTTATACTGTTGTAAAATATGCATTTTATTTCCGATTCTGTTGATAGTAGAGTATATGTATATACTCTTATGAATTATCGGTCAGAAATGAGTTTGAAAAACTTAATTTTATAGGATTGGTTTATTTTGCGTGATTACAGTATTACACTATCTATTATATAAGTCAAATATAATAGTTATATAATATATTTTATGGTTTAAATGATTTTATTTTCAAATGTTAAATATCCATCTAAAGTTTATTTTTTAACTAAATTGCTAGAATTTTAAATAAGAATTGCATAGAAATATAATTCAAATAATAAAATTATCTTAAAGTAA